CCTATGTCAGAAATATAATTAACAAATTGATACTTATATAAGTCAATACCAATTTTTCAAAGTTTATTTTTCACCACTTGGTCCTTATGAAGTTAATAAGGCTTTTTACTGGCTATCCAAAATGGTGCAAAATGAAGAAAAAGTTACCCTTTAATTTATATAGGAGAAAGGTTTTGAGCATTCAATTCTAAGAATTGAAGTGCAAATTTTTTTTTTTTTTTTTTAGTGTTCACTGAATAGAAAGCCCAAGCGCCACTCAAGATAGAGGATTACTGTGTGGAGTTATATTTAGTGTAAGAAAGTGCATGATAACAGGAGAGATAGCTAATTCTAGAATTGAAGAGATCAAGATTTAATTAGTCAATAAAATTTCAGAGTTCAGGTGGAAACATTAGAAGGAACTAGAAACCCAGTCCTAAACAGGAAACAAGGGATAAAACCTTTACTCCTGTTCAAAGGACAGGGGGGGGTGAACCAGACAATAGGAAAACCTATCTACTTCTATTAATTATGTGGTACTATAGTCATTATTATAATGTGGTACTGTAATAAAAACAAATGTGCCTACCTTATAATGGGGAAAACAATAATGTTGATACTTACACCTACATTATAAATGATGAGGAATGATAATGTAGATAAATATACCTACATTATAAATTCTGGGCAACAATATTGATTGATATATATATATATATATATATATATATATATATAATAAATGGGGAACTGTAATATTGACAAATATATCTATAAGTAATTGGAAACTATAATATAGATAAATATATCTGTATTATAAATAATAGAGGAGTATGCTATGTGTATATAAATGTCAAAGCACACACAAATATTCTGGCCTAGATTTGACAATTTTAGCAATACCACACAATATTCTACTGTTGTAAAGTATGTATTATAACAATCAATTCTCAAGTACTCATATAAACCAAGTGTAGACCAGTTCTTGTCTAGGGGAGACAATTTGTAGTTACCACTTCACATATTAAACGAGACAGGCTCTACACCTGCTTTATTCAAAGGAATCTTAATAAAAATATTTTATTTTGGTGTTAAATAAAAAAAAAATGACAGCAGTAATTTAAAAGGTAACAGAAAACCTTATATAATTTCTGAATAGTCACCTCAACCATTTGCAGCATGATAAAACTTGGAAATAATTAATATACACACCTTGACAGGTAAGTATATCTATTGTACCAGTGATTTTTAGTCATGATTTTTACCTCTTTTATATGTACGCCTATGTCTTGCTGCTGGAGCCATTGCTGTGGAATCAGGGCCCTAATGAAGGCTTTGCTTCTACTTTTTGGGAAAATAATGCTAAGTTTATGGAATATTACGGGGGGGGGAGATAATGAAGTTTTACTTAGGAAATAAGCAGTATGAAAAAAGGAGCTAATTTTTTTTAACACGGAAAGAGACGCTTAGTTGAAATTCTAAGCAAAGCTGGTAAACATATATTAATAAAAGAAATGACAAAAAGAAAACCTTTTATGTCAATGTGTTTCATTCCTTGAGGAAATTTACCAAATACAATTTTTTTTTTTTTTTTATCAATTCACCACAAGCAAGGCAATAATGCCACTAAGACTCAAGGAGTTATTGGGAGTGAATGAGAATGTGGAGACTTTAGAAGAAACTGGAAACCCAATCCTAAACAGGAAACAAGGGATAAACCTCTACTCCTGTTCAAAAGACCAGTGTGAACCTAATAGGTGAATCTATCTACTCTTATAAGATAAGATTTCGAAGCAGAAAAAAATGATTTTGTTAAGAGTAAAGAGCATCATTGGACTAGAATTCTGAAACCTAAATAGTTTCCATTTTTTTTAAAATTTCTGAGTTTACACAGAGACATTAGAAGTATAGAGTTGAAGCAGAATTTTGAAGAACCCAGAAACCCAATCCTAAACAGGAAACCAAGGATAAACCTCTACTCCTGTTTAAAAGACAGGGGGGAGTGTAAACTAGACAATAGGTATTCCTATCTATTCCTATTATAGTTTTTTATGGTCTTTTTTTTATACTAACATCATTTATTATTTTTAATTATTTGTAATGCTTAAGCAGATATCCCTGTTTTCAAAAGACCAAGGAGGAGTGTGAACTGGACAATAGATCTACACTTATTAATTTTTTTTTAACATTATCTATTATTATTTTAAACATTATTTTTAGTGCTTGAGCAGGTTTCCCTGTTTTTGTTTTTGTTTGTTTTTTTTTTTGTTTTTTTTAACAGTGATATTCAAACTCGGTAGGTATCAATTTAATATCTTATTAAAGAAAATGTGCCTCTCAACAGGATTTGAACCTGTATTATTTTTTTTTAATCTGAGAAACTACCTTCAAACCAGATAAGTATGGTTTACCACTAAGTTATTAGAAGCCATTGCAGTCTCGAGATATACATCTACTTTAATAAGACTTTCTTTATCTAGACTGGTAGATATTAATTTCAATGTTCTTTTTTTTTTTTTTAAAATGAAATAAAACAATGAATATCTACTCAAACCTATGTCCTCACCACTCAATATAATGTTTATAGTAATAAGAAGTATAGATAAGACAATTTGCTAAAGAAAAAGAAACCATTCTTACCTTGGCATGTTTCACCAGTGATCCAATGTCATCAGAAAAAGAACTTAGAACAAGAAACATGGAAATTTTTCTACAATTCTGAAATAAAATTCTTGTCTTGAGGGTTACAGTAATATTCAATGCATGAAAATTGAAAACTTAAGAAATATATATTTCTGTAGTTTAGTGCTAACAGCAAGCAGAAATATTTCTCCTCCCGATGATGGCCATTTGGGTCGAAACTAGTCGAGGAATCTAAATGGAATAATAATAAAAAAAAAAACGAAAGAATATTAATCTACAACCCAGTGTGTCTAAAGATTTTAATTTTTAATTTCTTTATTGTTCAAAATATATATATATATATATATATATATATATATATATATATATATATAAGGAATGTTAGAAAATTTCAAGTTTATGCCTGGTGTTTTATTTGTGCACAAAACTTTGAGTAGCATAGTGGGATAAGGAACAATATAATTTTTTAGTATATATCTTATCTCTGTTCTTTTACATTGAATACTATGTTTACTTCCAACATCCACTGTGAACTAATATATATGATGAACCCTGCCATAATGTTCAATGTATTGAGGGTCTAGTGGTTCAGTTCTTAGAACAAACAGCTATGCTACCCACACACATGATTTGATTATGGCAGTAAAGGCTTGTGCAGAACCAACCAAACTTTTTTTTTATGGAGAGCTCATGTACATAGCATGCCACAAGGTCTGTAAATGACTCTCTTTAGGTTTTGAATACAGAATTTTCCTTCTCCTAGATTGGTTGCCAACCAAGGCTTAAGAGCCAAGTCTGTCCTACTATTTAAAAAAGTGACAGATTTATAATTTAAAGATGTTTTTGCATAAAAGAATAGAAGTGTTAGGGAATTTGAACTTGGCTCTACAATTTCTCATTCTGAATCGCTATCCATTACACCATTTGCACATCCAGTTATCAGTAATAACCTACAGAAAGCTGTCTGAAATTATGAGCAGATATTATGAAAAATTTTCTTTTTTAAACCTTGAAAGTGGGTTGCTTCAGTCTAAAACTAAATGGATAAAATTACTTCTTCTATGTATTATATCCCTTTAGAATGTTGATGATTATGGCTCTCCACAATTTCCTGTCCTTTGTAACTCTTAGTAAATTTTGTCTTTTTGCAACTTCTCCTAAACTCTGTACTGCTATCCATTTACAAACTCATTAGGTAGGTTATGTTCTGTTTTCTTCTGTCCCTCTTGCCTTCAACCTGCCCTGTGAGTATCAAATTTTCCAAACCTTCTTCAACATATGCCCTAAAAATTTCAACTATTGCTTTCTGATGTTGTCCTTTTTGTTTCCATTTTCTCTAAAACTCTGTTGTTGTTCACATGTTCAATCTATAGTATTCTCAGCATCCTTCTGTAGAACCACATTTCTGTTGCTTCATGTCTCTTCTTCATCAGTGAGGAAATTGTCCAGCATTCACTGCCATATAGGAGGACTAATATTACACAAGAGTTCAGTACTCTTTTCTTTGTTTCTAATGAAATTTTAAAATCACTTCAATTATTGTCAATATAAAGTATTGGATTTTAATGATGGCTAAATATAAGATGTACATGTGCAGGTAGTGTTGTGGTTAGTGACTTGGAAAGAGAAATTAGTGAGCCAAGTTCAATTTCCAGCTAAGTTTATTATGCTCACTTTTGCATCCATTACTTCTCTCAGCTATGGATAGATAGCAGGTTAAAGTGGTATATCTAGTATTGATTAGCAAGGCTGATTGGGTTTTCTTACCTTGAGTGGCAACCAGTCTAGGAGAAGGAAAACTCTGAATTCAAAACCAGTCTAAAGGGGGATGGGTTTCATTAGGCTATGTTACCCTAGACACACCCACTGCTGCTTTGGTTGGAGTATATAGGGTGCTCTTAAAACCTTAATGAGTCATGAGACTCGTGACACAGCATGATGAAACATAAAACATTTTTGTTAATCTGATCAAAAACATTTTTAGCAGAGTTTGAAAAATTTGCTCTTTTTAAAATTAAAAATTTTTTTTTTTAGAAATTAGGATTTTTTTTTTAATCATTGACATTTTCAATGATATGACCAATGTTGTTGTTGATGGTCCTGATTCCACAAATGGCTTGCAAGGTCTTCTTTTCTGCTTACTAATACTTCACTTACAGATTCTTGTTCCCTCCTCTGCAGATTTGCATGTAAGTATGGCTTGTTGGTTGCTCTGACTAATGTACAGTGCTTCATTTTATAGCAGGGTAATTGTATTTGTTACATACTGTCCCACTCTTTCGCACCCACCTCCACATTGTAACTCTTTCCCATTGCTGTCTGTGTAGTATGTTCTGAAATCCTTGCTCAAAAACATTCTCTTCTCTTTATCCTTATAGCTGGTAGGACTACTACCAACGAAGAGTTAGAAGACATGTTAGAATCTGGCAATCCCGCTATCTTTACACAAGGGGTAAGTTACTTTTTCTTCTTTTTTTTTTTTTTTTTTCATTCTTTCATTAATCTTTATCTTCCTCTCGCCATACATTTTGTTGACTCTGTACATCTCACTTCTGAACACTTTCACCAGGTCTCTCCAGTTTCTGCCACCTCTGCAGATTTTACTGGATCTCTCCAATTCCCACCCTCTACTTTTGGCCAGAACTCTGCAATCCCCAAACCTTTACACATTTTTGACCAAGCCTCTCCAATCCCCAACCCTATACTTTTGAACAACCCTCTACATACTTCATTCAGGTCTCTCCAGTCCCAAACTTACTACACAATTTTGCCTAGGTCTCTCCAATCCCCAACACTCTACACACTTTTGGCCAGGTCTCTCCAATCCCCAACCCTCTACACACTTTTGACCAGGTCTCTCCAATCCCCAACCCTCTACACACTTTTGGCCAGGTCTCTCCAATCCACAACCCTCTACACACTTTTGATCAGGTCTCTCCAATCCCCAACACTCTACACACTTTTGATCAGGTCTCTCCAATCCCCAACCCTCTACACACTTTTGGCCAGGTCTCTCCAATCCCCAACCCTCTACACACTTTTGGCCAGGTCTCTCCAATCCCCAACTCTCTACACACTTTTGGCCCGGTCTCTCCAATCCCCAACCCTCTACACACTTTTGATCAGGTCTCTCCAATCCCCAACCCTCTACACACTTTTGATCAGGTCTCTCAATCCCCAACCCTCTACACACTTTTGATCAGGTCTCTCAATCCCCAACCCCTCTACACCCACCCTTTTTTGGCCAGGTCTCTCAATCCCCAACCCTCTACACACTTTTGGCCAGATCTCTCCAATCCCCAACCCTCTACACACTTTTGGCCAGGTCTCTCCAATCCCCAACTCTCTACTCACTTTTGGCCAGGTCTCTCCAATCCCCAACTATCTACAACGTTTTGGCTAATCTCTCCAATCCCCACCCATCTACACTGTTTTGGCCAGATCTCTCCAAAGTTTTGGTCAAGTCTCTTCAATCCCCACTCATTTATACAGGTTTGACTAGGTCTCTCTAATCCTCACCCATCTACACAGTTTTGGCCTTGTCTCTCCAATCCCAAACCTATTACACAGTTTTGCCTTGTCTCTCCAATCCCAAACCTATTACACAGTTTTGGCCTTGTCTCTCCCAAACCCAAACCCTTGTTCTCCAATCCCAAACATTTTTGGCCTTGTCTCTCCAATCCCAAACCTATTACACAGTTTTGGCCTTGTCTCTCCAATCCCAAACCTATTACACAGTTTTGGTCTTGTCTCTCCAATCCCAAACCTATTACACAGTTTTGGCCTTGTCTCTCCAATCCCAAACCTATTACACAGTTTTGGCCTTGTCTCTCCAATCCCAAACCTATTACACAGTTTTGGCCTTGTCTCTCCAATCCCAAACCTATTACACACTTTTGCCAGGTCTCTCTAATTTCAAACCCTCTTGGCCCTGACAGTTTATTAAGGCTGATTCTAATTTCTGATTTTTCATTTACAACCATGTCCATGCATTAAAAGATGTTTTTTGATACCAGACAAACATTAATTTTGATTATTTTATTGATAATATACACAGAAAAGACTTATCGTTTTGACCATCAATATGTAACTGATGAATCGCATTTTTCATTTATGCCAGTTTGATTTTGTTTAAATATTTCTGACTTTTCTTTTTTCTTTTACAGATCATAATGGAGACTCAGCAGGCTAAACAAACGTTAGCAGATATTGAGGCTCGACATGCAGATATCATAAAGTTAGAGAATAGTATTAGAGAACTTCACGATATGTTTATGGATATGGCTATGTTAGTTGAAAGCCAGGTTAGTATGGTTTCCTATAGCTTTTAACTGTTTAAATATAATATGCATTTTCATTTAGATGTGGATTGAATGCTATTTAAGATAAGTGGTGACCCTCTATAGCTACCTAAACTATTTGCCCAAGAGAGGAACACTCCAACAAAAAAACCTACAACTTCAGAATTTTACTGCTAATGTCCCACCCAGCCACAGCATATAAAGCCAGTGTTTAAAAGGTGGAGTCAGCAATGAGCAAGTCACTTTCCACCATAAAATACAGGGTCTGTTTCACGTGACACCTGCATGAGGTGTAAGGGCTTATTTTTCAGAATTTTAAAATTTAAGAATGCCTATAAATAGACATCAGGGGCATTTACGAGTGTTCTTAAATTTAAAAATTCTGAAAAGCTAACAACACTTTTAGTTTTGTTTATAAATAATTGTTGCAAGATAAAATCCTTACATTTGCCTTGATAAAAGTCCATCAGAGGATGAAACACGTCAGCTAAGTTTCCCTTTTGTCTTTAGTCATATTGTGCTTTTACAGATTATATAATTATTTTTTATAAAAAAAATTTTATAACATGTTATAAAATCACTACAAAAATAGCCATTTTGTTTCAACACCCTCAGTGTCTTATCAAGTGATGATGTTGAATATAAAAAAAAAATTTTTATCTTCAACATCATCACTTGATAAGACACCGAGGGTGTTGAAACAAAATGGCTATTTTTGTAGTGATTTTATAACATATTTATGTTAAAAAATTTTTTTTATAAAACATAATTATATCTGCTCTACTTTGTATTGAGGACTCTTGTAAGAATAGTAATTGTTGGTTATTGGAATTCATTCTGCATATACCAATTATATACTTGGGTATATATATATATATATATATATATATATATATATATGAAATTTTGCACACACACATATATTTATTTCTAAAGAATTAATGGTTTTTATTTCATCGATAATGCTTCGAAGTGGGCATTATTTCTTTTAATAAGATTTCTTGAATATTTAGGCCAGTTGATAAAAATAAATATGCGTACCAGATCAACATCAGCTGTCAACCTAACCATATGCTCCCCATCAATTTTTATGGACTTTTAATGGAAAGTTCATGATGACCAATGCGGTAGTGACCATTCACCTATTTCCCTAAATATAAGCAAAGCTATGGCAAAAGAAAGGAATCCAAAATGGCAACTACACAAAGCTAACTGGCTTAAATTCACTGAACTCTGCTCATTGCAAATCAACATGGAAATTCTTAATGAACCAGAACCAATAGTCTTCTTTAAAAACATGCTAACACAAATAGAAAGACAGGCAATACCCAAATCTTCCTTTAAACCACACACTAAATGAAAACCATAGTTCACAGCAGAATGCAGAGAAGCAGTTAAAACCAGGAGAAAAATGGTAAAGATATTCTTACACAACCCAACCACAATCAATCTACAAAACTACAAGCAAGCTCAAGCAAAAGCATGTTATATAATTTAAAAAATCCAAAAGAGAAACTTGGAAAATCCACATCTCCAAATTAAACAACAAAACCCCAATAAATAAAACATGGGAAATAATAAGTAAAGTTAATGGAAAAACATCACAAACTGAAACAGTCCGCTTAACCAAAACAAATGGAGATAAATGCTCTGGAAAAAAAGATATAGCTGACTTAATAGCAAGAGAATTTCAAAGAAATTCCTCAACAAATCATTATACTCCCAAATTTCAAAAATATAAAAATTTTATGGAACAAGAAAAACTTGTGTTCACTTCAAACAATAAAGAAAAATATAATATTCTGTCTACTATGATAGAACTAAAAGACTATAAACAAAAGTAAAAACCAGTCCAGATGAAATCCATTACCAATTTGTGTTGTAGTTTTCACAGTGGAGGCTTGTATTTCACTAAGTCGGTCCTAAAAGGGTCCGATGTACAAAACGTTAGGAACTTGAAATAAGAGTTAATGACGCAGCAATCTAGTTGTGCTGGTTGATACTTCAATGTTCAACATCGACTGACTCACTCAACACCACTGAGCTCAACTGGCGACCGCTACTACTACTTATTATATGTGTGGGAGAGTCTATTAATAATAGAATAGGTATGTTCAGGTATGACACAATTTTAAAAACACCTGCCAAAAAAAGTCTCTTTTCATACTTCTCCAGATCTTTAATGATATATGGTGTTCAGATAAATTTCCAAAATTATGGCTTGAATCTATCACCACCCCAATTCTTAAATCTGGCAAAATCATTCCAACCTAACAAACTACCAGCTCATTGCACTAACAAGTTACAGTTGCAAGACAATAGCGAGAATGGTAAATGGTCAACTAATATGATACATGAAGAGAAAAAAATCTCTTATCTAGTTAGCAAAGTGGAATCTACAAAAAGACCAAGGAACCAATGATCAACTTGTACGGCTAGAATCCTTTATCCATAATAGCTTTGTTCGAGGTTGTAATGTGTTATCAATATTCTTTGATCTTGAAAAAGCCTATGACACCACATGGAAGTATGGTGTCCTAAAAGGCATGCACAAGATGGGAATAAAAGGAAGAATGGCTATATTCATCCAAAACTTCTATCAAACTGAACATTCAAAGTACAAAATGGAAATCCATCATCAGACACACATGAGCAGGAGGCAAGAGCACCTCAAGGTAGCATTTCATCACTTACATTATTTATTCTCAAAATAAATAGTATTATTAAAACCATTAATACAGGAATTGCATATATGTAAATGTCTCAATATCATATTCATCACCAAACATGCCTTCCCTTGAAAGATATTTACATATATGTTTAAACAAGATAGAAAAATGGACAAATGAAAATGGATTCTGTTTCTCCAAAACAAAAACTGTTTATATACATTTCTGCAAAAAATGAGCCTGCCACCTTGATCCAGAATTAAAATGGACACTTAATTCCCATAGTCCAACAAATAAAATATCTAGAAATCATACTAGAGAGCAAACTTAACTTCAAAGCACACATTGATTACCTGAAACAAAAATGCCAAAAGGCTTTGAAGCTTCTAAAGGTGATAACTAAATTGAACTGGAGTGTCAACCAAAAAGTAATGCTCAGAATAATAATACACCTTTTATCACTGGGGATGTTATAGCAAGAGCAAAATTTTATAACAGAAAAGGAAAATTATGTAACTTAGGTTTTGTTGAAAATACACACACATATATATATATATAGAGAGAGAGAGAGATATTGCATCTGGAGTACAAACAAGAGAACAGTAGAGATCCATGTGTGAAGTGGAAGATAATTAAAAAAAAGTCAACCCAAGCAGAGTCCATGGTAAAGGCTGCCATCTATGTCAGGAGGAGAAGCTGGCAATAGCAACTTATCCTGACAAACAAGTGTTGCTCAATGAAAGGACTGAAGTGTTAACCAGATGCAAGCACTTATGCAAATATTTATTGAACAATTACAAGCCCGGATGAGTGTTTTCCCATAAATTTTTTTCTTTTTAACCCTCCCCACTTCTTAGGCTCACTCCCACAAATACCATCCACCTCCTGGTGTTCTGACCCTCCCCCTTCAAAGTCCCACTCTCACCAGTACCATCCACCTTCCAGTATTTGTTGTGGAGTTTACTATACTACAACTTTTTCAACCTGCCTGAGGAGATCTAACAATCAAAACCTGGGTAGCGTGGTTGTGAGAGATTTTTTTCCAAGACATCTCTCTGCATTATATATTTTATAGCTTGCATCAAAAACTTTTTTTTGTGTTTACACCTTTCTAAGCGCCCCCCCTCTTTTTTTGTTATTTTATTTAATTTTTGGTCTCCTGTTATAATATTTTATATTTTAAATAATATATATTGTAGGTAATTGAATGACAGACTATAGTAATGTTCTTATTGATGGAATTATATACATATAGGGGAGAAATATAAAAATAAATGTTGGTTATTATTATGCACCAATAGAACACAAAATTTTTAAGTTTTAAAATTTTTGGCATCCAACATCTCTTAGTTTTGTTTTTATCACAGTTGCTTTTAAATATCCGACATTATGGTAAAAGAAAATCTGTCAAGAAAGATGAAATACTGTAAGAACCTGAACACAAATCATTCTATTTTGTCATTCAATTACCAACCATTGTCCCGATATATATAGAAATTTGTATATCCTATTATCTCTGTATAATTGTGTACATCAAGGGTTGGCAGCCCAGCTCTCAGAGGATTTTTATCTGGCCCGCCAACTTAACAGTTGGACACTTATTATCTAATTAGTATAGATATTTACTTGACGCGAGTCAGGATGTGACATAAGGTCAGTTTTTAACGTGGAGAACCAGAGTGTTTTCACTCGGGCCACTGGTCTAAGCTAGTCATAGCCGTGATACTACCAGCCCAGGACCGGATCCCGGTCCCAGGTAAGTATCTAATTAGTATAGAGTACAGATACAGTTGTTCTCTTAAAGTTTAAGCGACTTTGGAAAGTTTACTATTTTCCATTTGAGTTTGTTGCCTGGTTGGTAGCTGTATTCGGTAATAATTAATGTTTATTTAATTTTTTATGATAAATAATGTGTTATTACAATTAGGACAAAATTGGTTTAAAAAAACCAAATGGCAACTCTGATCTAACAACATCATTAGATATCGTGGTTTGTCTATTCACAATTATCATATTATTTTATCATATTGCTCTATTTGTATTTACATCTGTTCTCATTGTTTCTTCTTTCTCTGTAATGATTACCATACATTTTTCTTCTTCTGCAAAATTTTAACGAAGGCTGGACACTTTGCTATTTTTTCCATTGAGCATTGAATGCTTGATTTGCCAACAAACCATTGCTGTGAAGAAGGTTTAAACTATTAAATGGCAGTAAAACGAGGAACCTTGTTTAAATAATATAACATTTTATCTTTAAACCTCCAGATCTGGTCAGCCTTCAGAACAGAACAGTTTGAGAGCCAGACAATTTATTATAGTATATTTGATATCACGGCCCTCCTCCAAGACACCATGTAGCTGCCTGGCCCACTTTCTCCAAAAGTTTGCCACCCCCTGGTGTACATGTTCATGTCTTTTTATCCTGTAAACTGTGTTTTTGTTTAATGTATAGATGTATTTACTTTACTAATGTCTTTCTCACCGTTTACCAGGGAGAAATGATTGATCGAATAGAATACAATGTAGAAGCCGCCGTTGATTACATAGAAACTGCAAAAGTGGATACAAAGAAGGCGGTAAAGTATCAGAGTAAAGCCAGACAGGTAGGTGAAAGTTATCTCCCTTTTTGATTAACCTCAAGAGTTATCTCCCTTGTTTGACGGTTGACTTTCTTTTTTTACTAATGGTGTGGACATCATTAAAAGGACAAATCATGCCTTAATCGTCTGCTCTGGAGAACCATATTTTCACTTTTCTATGGAAACAGCAATCATCTGCTTTGGGTGACTAAAACTTGTGTGGGTTTTGCTATTCGTATAAAACTGACTACTAATTACTGTGTGTTTTTAAACCATTGGTTAAAACACAATGAACATGTTTACATAATCTAACCTCCAAGAATATTTGCATATTAACATTTGAATATTAACTATACATTTCAGTGTTATAGAAGTTTTTGCAAGCCTTACTAATCCAGGAATAACTGCAAATCATTTGCATTACTAACATTCTAGATATTGAAATCACTTTGAAAATTTTTTTTTTCTTTTCATAAAAACAAAAATTGATTTTCTTAGAACTTTCCTTTACTGCTTTGTCTAAAAAGTCCTGTAATTTTCTTTATATGTCTACCATCAAATGAATCTTGTCCTCATATCTGAAGATTGTAACCACTAATGATATATCCTGGTAGGCTCCCTGTACATTTAGGGATAAAATGGTAACAAATTTCTTACAGTTAATTAATCCATGAATGACAGACACCAATAATGTTATTCATTGCAAATGACAGCAGTCTTCATTTATTAAAGTTTTTAAAAAAGACGATTGAGATGCTCCTGTTAAAGTTAATGGATAAATTTTTATATTCTAGCCTTTCAAATGTAGTGTGTGGCCAAAGTACCTCCTACATAATGGTAAGACAATAATTAGATGACAAAACCATTGCCACTTGACTAATTTCACTAGCACCACACAGGTGCCAGTTTAAAATGTGGGAGGTATAATTGCCACACTCTTAGCTAAGGTCTTACCATTATATGGGAGGTATTTCTGCCACACACTGTTAATAATGTCCTACTATTTATATGGGAAGTATTTCTGCCACACCCTATATTTGTGAATTCATTAACTACAAATAACAGAACTTTCTATCATATAGTTCTCTGTTTTAATTGCAAACTTTCTACCATGGTTAAGAGATCATAGAGAAGCAAATATGTTACCAAACAATAGCTTGTTCTGTCTATCAGAGATTTAATATTATATATGCATTTACTTAGCAATAATCCATTTAAAGATCTACCTGAGGATTTATAACATTTGTTACCCTATGCTCCATTTTTTGAAACACTGAGTCATATTCATAATAGAAATAACTACTTCCTTGAGGATTGTTAGTGCAACCATTTGTAATTCTTTAGTAAATATATTGTAATTAATGATTGCATTTAACTCTTTCTATACTGAGCTAATTTGTAAATTTTATCAACTTTAGGGTAACTCAAATTCAATTTGTGAGTTATCTATACAAGTTATCCCTTCTATGCTATATATATTCTGGTAGGATTATGTTGAGATTATATCGTAAAGATATTAATCCAGTGTTTCTCACATATATATGCATGTATGAATGCAAATATTAAAATACACAATCAAAAACAGTCACAAGAAAAAGCAATCCCAAAAAATACAGATAATGAAACCAAACAGCCTTTCAACTTTTTATACAAAATAACCATCTTAAATTCATAAATTAATAAGGCTTCGGCATAAATTGACCCAAATAGGAGTTGACATGCCGTTAAATCCAACATCCACCCATCTAGTGTTTCTCAACTATTTTTTAATTGAGGTGCACTTGTAGAATTACTAAAACTCTTGGACACACTTTAAATTTTATTAAGGATAAATAAGTCATGAAATTTGAAAATAATAGTCTCTGAAATAAGCATTTATTTTAAAGACATTACATTGTCTATTTAATTACTAAAACTCTTGGACACACTTTAAATTTTATTAAAGATAAATAAGTCATGAAATTTGAAAATAATAGTCTCTGAAATAAGCATTTATTTTAAAGACATTACATTGTCTATTTAATTACTAAAACTCTTGGACACACTTTAAATTTTATTAAAGATAAATAAGTCATGAAATTTGAAAATAATAGTCTCTGAAATAAGCATTTATTTTAAAGACATTACATTGTCTATTTAATTACTAAAACTCTTGGACACACTTTAAATTTTATTAAGGATAAATAAGTCATGAAATTTGAAAATAATAGTCTCTGAAATAAGCATTTATTTTAAAGACATTACATTGTCTATTTAAGTGGTAGAGTTTTCATTTAAATGGATTTATGAAGAACCTGCTATTTTTCTTCTTAGACAGATAATGACTGATTTAAATCTGTCAAGGTAGACAAAAAGGAACGGGTTATCCACTCCTTAAAGATTAAGGTATTTAGCATCTAGTTTAAAATATCCAAGGACAAAGACTTTACTTCGACATTGAAGCGATATGCTTGGTGTCTCTAGCTTTTTAAAAATGAAGATTTTTTTTAGATGTAAAAATAATTAATAAATTACTCTTCTGTTAACTTAAAGGTGCACCTGGCTACCTTTTGGGGTGCATTAGTGCAACCAGATGCACCCATTGAGAAACACTGTATTATTCTAATTATGTGTAATTTTGGTAAATATATCGGTTAAAATGAGATGTCGGTGTTATTTTCACTTTTGCATAATTTAGACGACAATTTATTCATCGCAGCCAGTATATTGTAATTTAGGGCAACATGTGATTTGATTGGACAATAGCTAATATGCGGGTTTTGTTTATTGGACCTTCATAGTGTGTATTTACTTGGCTTAACCATAATCTTGTCAAAGTTCTCCCAGAATATTCACAACAGATAATTATAAACCAAACATAGCTCAAGGCCACAATTATAGAGCACCCCATCAGTAGCATTCATGATGGTCCCAATTTAAGAAATTTCAGTGCATGCCATATATCTGCTCTTTAGCTTAGTATATATAATTTAATATTAGGAATGCTATTTAGTGGAAACTTTATATATATATATATATATATATATATATGAGAGAGAGAGAATACAGAATCCTTAAAAATCCATTTGGTCATGTGATAATTTATTTCATGGACTTCAGATGTCCATCTCTTCAGACCCGATTTACAAAAATATATGGAGTTCAGTTAGTTTATTCAGACACAAGGAAAAGAGAAATAAAAAATTGGCAGGGAGACAGACAGATTTTAATATAAGTTTTTTTTATGGTGAAGAGAAAGAGAGCTAGACATGGGTGGGGGAGAAAAAGAAAGGAGTTTATCAAGTTGACAGAGTGGCTCAGAAGATATACTTTTCTTCTGAGACTTGACAAGTTAAAAATATATATATATATATATATATATATATATATATATATATATATATGTATGTGTGTATCTGATGATTGCTACATAAACGTTCTACTGTCAATTCTTATTTTCTTAGTGTTGTAGAGTAGTTTTCACAATGGAGGCTTGTTTTTCAATAAGTCGTCCTAAATTAGGTTTGACGTACAAAACATTAGGAACTTGAAATAAGAGTTAATGACGCAGCAATCTAGTTGTGATGGTTGATACTTCAATGTCCGACAGACTCACTCAACACCACTGAGCCCAATTGGCGACCGCTACTACTACTTATGTGTGGGAGAGTCTATTAATAATAGAATAGGTACGTCAGGTATAACACTTAGAATAAAGTAGAGTGATCACTCTTGAAACTTCAATTTCAAAAGTCACTGGACTGTATGCTATTGGATAAAATGAAATATTTTTTTACCTTGTCAAAGAATGAAAGAAACATTCTTTTTGCCGTATCAAAGAATGAAAGAAACGTTCTTTTTGCCGTATCAAAGAATGAAAGAAACGTTCTTTTTGCCGTATCAAAGAATGAAAGAAACGTTCTTTTTGCCGTATCAAAGAATGAAAGAAACGAATCAAAGAATGAAAGAAACGTTCTTTTTGCCGTATCAAAGAATGAAAGAAACGTTCTTTTTGCCGTATCAAAGAATGAAAGAAACGTTCTTTTTGCCGTATCAAAGAATGAAAGAAATGTTCTTTTTACCGTATCAAAGAATGAAAGAAACATTCTTGAGTTCAATGATATATGAAGGAATGCCTAAGTGTTGTAGCTAGCTTGAATTTTAATATTTATCTAATCCAGGAGTAACGGATTGATCTATAGTGAACCTAAGATTTTGTAATTCAAAAACCCAGGTATGTAGGAAGAACCCAATTATCAAAACAAAGCATGATAGAAAGCAAGTGAAGAATGTACACATATATTTTCTACTGTTTATTGAGATTTTTAATCTCAATTACAGTGTATCTGTTCTGCAAACATCTAAGCAATTTATTAATAGGACAAAATTTAAATAAAACTTAAAGACACAGGCACATGTAAATTATTGTCGAAAAAGAAAACAAAATGGTGGTTTGAATCACTTTACACCACCTTTCTTTTTTCCTTTTCTTTTTTGACAGTAATTTTTAACATGTATCTGCTGCTTCATGCAATACTTAAGCCACTATTATTGTAGCTATGGAATACTGAAACACAAAGCTGACTTCTTTTGCTACTGAGAGGAAGCTTTCTTGATAGAAGTCTTAGCCATAGTGGAAGTCTGTTTTTTGGGGGATTTTTTTTCTAAAAGAATATGTTTTGAATGTATTATGACTAATATAACTAAAATCAATGATCTATTTGGAAAGCCCTTTGGAGGTCCTAACAGAAGTTAAGACAGTTTTTAGTTTGTTGGGACAATGGCCTGTCAGCAGGCTGGCTGGTGGATTTGAAGTTCTGGGTACAGGTGCTGCTAATTCTGGGAATGTTTGGCACTGGTGCTTCTTTATCTTCACTGCACGCTTCTTGTATTTGTCTGCAACTCATTTCTTTGCTTCGTATACACTTTTTTTCTTTTTTTTTTGTATACTTTCAACATTTCTGAGAAACAAAGTTTAATCTATAGTTAACACACACTTGTAATTTTAAAAAAGAAAAAAACATTTTCAAAAAAAAGTGAAATCA